GCGCCACCTGCTGTCAGAGAGTGCGTCTCATTCAGACCTGCTGTTTTTGTTTCGTGCAGATGTTTTATGTAGCAAATAAATAAATAACATCTAAAAGTGAGACCATTCTGTTTTTGTTTTAAATCCTGAAATTAATCTAAATCAAATCAAAAACAACTGCACGTGCAGATCATGATTAAAATGCGGTGGTTGCCTCTAATTTCAAATGGCTAGATATTTTTGTTTAAAGCCAGTTTGTTTGTTATAAAGCAAATAGCCAATAAATAAATTTGCCTCAAAAATCAGTATCAGAATCCAATTTGCTAGTTAAAAAAGAAAAAAAAAAGAAAATCTGAATTCTGAATCCGCTATGATCGGCGTATCACTAATTAAAATACTAAGTAAAAGGCCTCAAATTTGAAGTACAATCTGGGATGTCTTTTTCTATCAATTCTTCAATAGGTAGATCTTGTCTTTCATAAAGGCCGAGGTCAGGGATCTTGGGCCTAAAAAGGTTGGTGACCACTGCTCTAAAGAAACAGGATTCCCTAAATTATCGTCATTGATATCGTTATCGCAATAAATATCAGAAATTATCGTGATATATTTTAAAGCCCATATCGCCCATCCCTAGGCTACAGCAGCACTACTTCTTCGTCGTCTTGTCTGATGCACTCAACCAAGCATTCTAACCACGGCCTCGCCCCTCCCCACCCCCCAACCATTCGTATTTCCGTTGGCGAGAATTATTTTAATGATATTCTAATGGGCCGCTTTGTGATATCACAAAACCCGGAAAACAAACGCTGTAGTCCAAACGAGCCGTTCGTTGTAGTTCTTGAAAAGGGATTTAAAAAAAACGAAGTATCTCCCTTTGGAGTGGACTTTGAGATTTGTAAGTTTGAAGATCTTTTTATGCTCAAACATACACACTACACCAAAAAGTGAAAAAGCATAATAGGACCCCTTTAAACAAATAATTTTCCCCAAAAAAATCATTTTGTCAAATGTTGTTACAAACCTTCTTGACTTAAAATTCCAATTTTTGAACGAGTTATTCAGACCATTTTTTTTATTTATACAAGATTTGAGTTGAATGATTTGTTCATAAATTGAACATTGCTACATCTCTGATGTACTCTCATGAACACGCCAAGTACAGCTCGGGTTCCTCATGTACCTTACACTGCTTCCTGTAAGCACTTCAGCCTTGACCAAACCAGTGTCTTCAATATACCTTGGATTTCCACTAAACTGCTGTTCCTCACAACATTATCCGGGCATTCCCTTTGGACTCTGACCTCGGTTTCTGAGGATCCTAGACTGGATTACCCCTTGCTCCCCATCCCAACAGAGGCAATCCAGCAATCCTGTTAGCCCTAATGAGATTAGGCAGAGACATTGGCTAGTCCTCATTAAGAGTAGTTTTGTGTCCCACCATATGCAGCCAGATCCTAAACACAAGGGCAGCTGGCTTTAGGTGAGATGTCTGTAAATGTGGCCTTCCTCTACGGCTTCTCTTCATCCCTTGAGTTATATGAAGAGCCTCATCTTCACCAGATGGTCTGTTGCTTTGATCAGTGATCAGTCCTGTAGTGTGGTATATTTCTGCTCCGTCTATGCAGTTTACCAATCATTTTGCCATCCTAATTACATGAGAAAATAATTACATAAGAAGCAAGCTAAATTTATCTCTACATTTCCTCTTTTAACAGCTCTGTTAGCCAGTCGGTCTCAAGTTCAAGACCATTTTTTCTATAACTAGTAGAGACCAGTTATTCTCTTGAACTCGAACTTTGAGTCAGAGTCCAGTCTTGTCTGGAGTGAGAGTGCTACAACACTGCTATTAGATTTCTAAGAAGCAGCTAAACTCTTGGGTCAACTTTTACTGTTGCCTTACTTAACCAGGTTCACCAGGCCAGTGGGCCTCAAGTCATTGCAACTCAGGGTTGTTTCATCCTCGTTGAACCCCTTGCATTCATTGCCACCACT